TGGATTTAAAAATGGAGAACTAATTGATGACCGCTACAAAGTATTTCGCAAGGATAGAGTCAATTGTAAGGCCTTGGGAGGCGGAGTGATGGTAGCAGCAAAAAAGAATCTGATTTTAGAGGAAGTCGAATTGGACTGTGATATAGATATGAGTGCTTGTTACTTAGGTTAAGATTTAAAAAATGTTTGTTTCATATTTCATGTGTCTATATCGAGGTCTATATAAAATCTATTTTTTTTTTAAGATAAAAGTCAAAATGACATTATGTTGGCAATGCAATGTAAAATTGGCAATGCTTTCAATTTTTTTTACGTGGAAAAGGCTTGTGTTGCCAACATAGTTACTAAATTTTTGACTTGGGGAATTATCTTCAACAAAAAAAACAGACTTCACCACCAAGGGTAAAATTCTCGGTAAAATTGAATGTATATGAGCAACTTCTAGAGAATCTTAACCAAAAGTTTTGAGAATAGATTTGCTCCAGAACAACATGGTTTCCTGCCAGGCGTGTCTACTGTTGGTACATGCCTTTCGGATTGGTTTCAGGCAACTTTTGGTGTCGCTCAAGGAAGTAATTGGGGCCCCTTATTTTTTGTATTTTTGTAGACTCACTACCAGGCTGTCTGACACACTCATCCTGCTTAATTTTTGCAGATGACTTTAAGCTTTTTAAAATTGTATGTGCTCTTGATGATTGTCAGCATTTACAGGAGGACCTTGACTCAGTTGTGAAATGGTTCAGGGATCACAATATGATATTGAATATAGAGAAGTGTGGTGTTATGTCTCTAAAACGTAAAATTAACTTTATCGAAAATTGTTATACAATAAATAATCAGACTTTAATCAGGAAAACCAAATGTAAAGTCCTGGGGTGCACCAGCAGGATGATATTATGAAGTTTTATGAGCATTACAATAATATTGTTAACAAGGCATACAAAATGCTCGGATTTGTGATCAGAAACTCTAAGCATTTTAGCATAAATACAACAAGATTATATAATGCCTTAGTCAGACCAAATCTTGAGTATACATCAATGATATGGGCGCCGGAGGCTGAAATTAACATCAATCTTATCGAGAAAGTGCAAAAAAGATTTCTTAGACATTTATATTTTAAGAAGTATGGAATATATCCCTACCTAGTGTCTACCAGTAACTTGCTAGACATTTTCAATATGGAATCTTTACAACAGAGGAGGAATATGCATAATATTCTATTTCTGTATATCTTAAATAATATCAAATACAAAACATGTGATTTAATTAACTTTATACAGTGCCACTTGCCAAAGATTAATTTAAGACATAACAAGAGGGTCCTATTTTCTGCTAACCCTTCTAGTACTTCTCCTATAAGTCACATGCAGGGCCAGTGCAACATTTTAATCAAGAACAATAATATAGATTTTTTTAATTGTAGTGTTAAGGATATAAAAAAATTATTTACGAGAAATTAATTGAAGTTCAAATCTGGAGGCTTCTCTCCTAAGGAAATATGTTTACTGCTTAATTAAAAGTCTGATGCTGTTGTTTTTAGATTAGTTTAGTGTTTACGTAGTTTTAGGTTTTGCTTAGTGTGGGATTTGTAGGCTAGTAACAAGTACTCTCATTTCATTACTGCTCCAGCGGTGTTTGTAAATAAAAAAAAAAAAATAGCTTCTCGGTACGTTATTAGCTCATTTATTTCCATAATGTCTGCAGCAACCATCATAGCGAAATCTTCAAACCTACTAAGATGTCAGAATGAGTGTCAGATTGTGATTCTCCAAACTATCATCTTCTTCGCCGTTTTGTCCATTGTTTTCTTTAGTTTCTTGTTCTGGAGTACCTTCCCTGCTTCTGACAATCATACAATTGTTTTACTGAGAAGTTCCAACAGGGTCTTCCAACAATGGCAACATTGAAGTTATGAGTTTTTCGTCGAATATCACATCTCTCGATCTGACTAGTTTCTCAGATTCTTCACACCAAATCCTTTCATTGCCTTTTTATCAATTTTCTTTCTTCCTGACTTTGGTACATGGGCATAACAGGATATTCCAATAATTCTCATGTGTTTTAAAGAAGGCTTTTTCTCATACCACAGTTCGAATGGCGATTTTCCTTCGATACTAGAATTACCAGTCCTATTCAAAATGTACGCCGATGTATATATTATTTCAGCCCAAAAAAGTTGTGAAATATCTTCATTAGTATGCATGATGGATCTACCAGTTTCAATAATAGTACGATTATCTCGCTCTGCACAACCGTTTTGCTCTGGTGTGTAAGGCATTACGAGTCTCTGTTTGATTCAACTTTCTTGTAGAATTTTTCTTACTTGAGTCTTGACCATTATCAAATTCTCCTCAATTAACCGAGAGTAGCTCTTCTACTGTATGTCCTACTGTTTTTACTTCAGTTAACCTAATTGTCAGTTTTTCCACAACTTCAGATTTTTCTTTCAGAAAGTAAACATAACGATAACGACTGAAATCATCCTTGAAGAACACGAAGTATCTAGCCACTTATGGATTTCTCAAAAGGCCCACAAATATCTGTGTGTAAGAGTTCTCCTGGTACCTTTGCTCTTTCTCTCGTTCCAAACTTTTTCCTGTGCATTTTACCATAAATACAACCCTCACATATATCGCTGTCTAAGGTCACTTTGAGGTCAAACTCACGACACAAAATATCTCTGATGTGTCGTTTATTTTGTTGACCAAAACGTTCATGTTATAATGGGGTAGTATACTATGTATGAAAATCAGTAAAAAAACTACTCGACATTATTCTATAGGCTAAATGGTGATGGTATAGTGGGATACTAAATTATTTTCCAGCATAGTGTCTTTAGAATTGGTCAGGGAGAAACAAACTGTAATTTGAATTTAGCGCCACAGCGGAGACCAATAGTATTCAAGCCGCTGTCAGTGCAAATTGTGCGTTCTCAAAACCGTGATGTGTTGCCAGATTGGAAAAACTAACTATGTCACGAACTTTTATTTTCACGTAGGGGCGGGGCTAAGAGGAAATTTAAAAAGTAAAATTCCAATGTATTGCGGTTTTTACAAACCAACTGATTACACTAAATAGTACGACACGTCGAGTATATCACTACGCAGTAGTTAAAAATCACTTGTATACTTGCAATAAGTTATCATTTGAAGCTATGTTGATTTGAGCAGTTTCCTTTGGCTTTATGATCTGCAATGCTAGTTTGTACATGTCAGTATGGATTTACCACCAACTATAAAACTGCATTTCTTAGTGCTTGAAGTAAACTTTGATGTAGCATATAAAAACGAAAATAAATTCTTTTTATTCAGAGGACTGTACCATACGTCTGATAACGTCAAAACATCTCTGTCTTGAACTTTCCTTTCCAACTGTTCTAACCGTTTCTCCATTCGCTGTCGTTATGGTGTGTGTACCTTGAAAATATTAAAATGTTTCAAGATATCACCTCGATTTGTAATATGACTTCTAGCTTCATTATCCACAAACCAGCTATTCTCCTCACATAAGACACTAACTACTTGTTAAAGCAACTAACATCATGTTTGTATCCTTATTTTTCTGTGTTCTGTTATTTCTTGAATTTGAGCTTTCTGGTTTTGGAGGTCTGCAACTAACATCATGTTTGTATCCTTATTTTTCTGTGTTGTTATTTTTTCTTAAATTTGACCTTTCTGGTTTTGGAGGTCTACCATCTTATGATTTGTTAAATGAGGAAGTTGCATAAAATTTCATTTTGATGCAAAATGTATTTAAAGTGAAGCAAAATACTCTAGAAGTATATTTCCATATTCAAATCCTCTTTATACTGAACCACTAATAAATAATTGATTATTGAAATATTGAATATAACAAAGGGCGCGAAAACGCTCTCAAATTGGTTATGAAGTCAAGGAACGGTAAAAAAGAGAATAAAAAAAAAACTGAAAATTCCTCATTGTCTATAGTCCTTTCAGATTTCGACATTAACATTGGTGTGTTTAGTCTGTTAGTCTGAATATTGTGTAGTCTGAATCAAATTATATCTTGCTCCGTTACCAGCGTTTAGCTGTTCAGGAGCAAATAACAAAATGCATAGTTTAACTTGTGACTTAGATTAGATGAAAATCGTAATTTGTTATTTAATAAATAAAAAAAAAAAAACATCCAGCTTGACTTGAAGGAGAAGCAGTCTTGGGGTAGAGTTTCTAAAATCTTACAGACTAACAGCAACTCAGGTAACTCACAATTACATGTTTTATTTGTAATGATTTTGTCTTTTGATAACCCCTTTTGCAGCTCATTCCACAGGTTCTTGAGCTTAGACGTGTGCGTTGCCATATCATCTTCAACTTTCTTCTTATAGTTAAAGAATTCTAAGCAAACATCATAGGTTTTGTCCACAACATTGCTATCAAAGAGCCTATTCAATTCAACCCACACTTCTCTTGCTGTAGAAAACCTCATAAGGTATCTTGTGTCAGATTTATCGTAAGAGCAAGAAGTGCATTACAATCTGCAGTATTGAAACTCACCAGGCTTGCCTCATGCGCAGCAATTTCAACTGCCAACGCATTTTCTTTCAAAACTGGTAGCACCAACTTTCCTTCCAAAATATCAACTGCATTTGAAATACCTCTTAGAAGAATGTTCATTTTGTACTTCCATGTGGTCCAATTAGCTTTACCTTCCAGTAATCTTACATGAACTTTGCTGGGATCCATCCTTCAAAGTTCAATTACTACTTTTTCGTACCCTTGATATTCTTAAGTTTTCTTGCCTCTTTTAACGCTCTGCTACCATGTTAAAGTTTGATAAGCCATGATTCAAATTATAAATGACTGATGACAGGTCTTAAGACTTCCATAAAGATGTAGAATGTTTTTCAACGGTGTTTAAATTAAATTTCATAGAAGCCAGACTTAGAGGAAAAAGGTCAATGTGGTATAATTTGAAATTATTTGAAGTCCATTAAGCACACAAAAAATGTTTAAGTCAAAAATAAAGTTATCCCTTACCTCCTATAATACTTGAACTCTCTAGGCAAAGTATAAGACCTAGGCAGCGACACCTGACTCTCCAAATCGGAACCGACTGAATGATGCGACACCCCATTATTACCGCCAACCAGCTCAGCAGCTTCAGGCGCTGCTGGACCGTTGATAATAGCTCCACCAGAGCCACTTACACAATCGCAGTACAAGTAACGAGGTGTCAGCAGAAGTTCTGGCGTGCGATTTCTTGGAGCTCTCGGGGGCGGTCTTCTGTTCAAGTTCACCCCATAGCTGGCTAGATTATTCAGAGAAGCTAAACTCAAGAGTTGAGGTTCTACATGTTTTTTGGCTCTCGGGATTGGTTGGCGATTGTCGAAGTCAGCGCCCTCTGGACCAACAAGTTTACCTGTAAAGAAAGAATATGCGTAAGTATGCACAAGACTTGATACTTGAGCTGTGTATTTGTAAGTTACTTTTATAAAAATTAATCAAATTAATGAAATACCAAGATAAATGATCAGAAAAAATGTGTTACTTGATTTGCTTTACTAAAATGTAATGTAACCCAAATTACAGTTTTAATGGAACTTTGTGTAGAACTATAGGTATTTTGAAGAGTTTATATCAAAATAGAGTGCGAAGTTTTTCTGAAAAGTGAAATCTTATGATAGTGATGGTTGCAGAACATGTTTCTGAAAAGTCCATGTTGAATTAACATCTACGGAAATTTAGGTTCTAGAACGAGTGATAAGATACTATTGCTTAGGATGTAGAGATTTTAAATCAGATATTCTTTTAATAGAATACCAAAATTCAGGATTGTAGGATATGGTGGAAACGTATCAGACTTTGGCAAAGATTGAGAAATGTATTAGAGAACGGATTCATAAGATTTTTTAATTTATCTTTTGATTCGAACTTATAGACTGAGGCCCGGTTTATTCATCTTCAAATAAACTTGCTGATAAGTATTTGCAAGATAAATTCACCGTTCTATAATTCTACTGGTTGGCGGATAACTAGTTTACTAATAGGATTACAGATTGCGTTTTTATCCATCAGATTGCATACCTGACAGTTTATCAGAAGGTGAATAAATTGGCCCTAAGAAATAACTTATCAATCTTTACAGAGGAAATTCTTTAAAAAAATTACATAATTGTTTCTCACCTTGTTTGATTTCTTCTTCAATTATCTTCAACTCAGCCAACTGTTTTTGCTTCTTTTCTTGTAGTTTTTGATGAATATTCACCCTAGACCCAACACTACTTCCTTCATTTTCACTACTCGAAGGTAAAGGCCTTCGCCAAAAAGGTACCGACACTGGCCCCAAAGGGGCAGCAGTTCCATTAGCATTAGAAGGAGGCGGTATAAATGTAGTAGGTTTCTTCTTTTTTCTGTACAATGCAGAGGCTGAATTAGGCCCAGTGCAGCCTCCAAAGCGACAATTGAACACTCCACCCCCTGGAGTCGCTGAAGGGGCTGCTGGTTTTTCTATAAGCCTTCTAATGTGAAAATAACGATAGTAGAGAAGCATGAATGCTAAGCCAATAAAGAATAGGCCGACTGTTAAAATTGGAACTGTCTCCCATCTTTCCGGTCGATAATTCCAAGTGGCTGCCAGCCAGGCACTGACCAGAAGGCAATTTTCCAGCAACATCACCACATAAAATATAATCATAGTTCTTCCGTGAGGTTTCCCTTGTAAATTAATATATGCCAGCACATAAATAGCTGCAACCATTGCACACACTCCTAATTTACGTCCTCGTTGACCATGAAAGGGACTTCTTGGACTTAATAGCCATAGAAACATGCAGGACCAATGCAAGGCTAAAACCTAAAAAAAAAAATATGTAGTAAAAAGTATTGAAAAATATAGCTGTGGGCAAATCAACACAAAAAGGTGAATCCATGAACGGAAATAGTTGCCTCTCAAGTATATAAAAATATTCCCCAAACTAAAATGCTATGCATTCTCGTGATTTACATTATTTCCTTTTCACTGTATTAAAGTGGCATCAAACATCAAATGATATTTGCACTTCATACAAACAAACTTGCAGTTGAAAATAATCTATTCTCTAATCCCCCTGCAGCCCTTAATCAGCCTCCAATAAAAGGATAATACTTATTATAAACTCAGTATAGATTGCCTATTTGTGTTAATTTGTTATATTGACTTACTAAAAATATCCAAGAATGGTAAGTTGCAGCATAAGCTGATAAAGCCAGGGCTCTTGAGGTAACAGTGCCAGCTCGCCACAAAAGTTGCGAAACAACACCTAGCCATGTTAATACTAATCTATCAACACTTTGTACATGTTTACTAAACGAAGCTAGCGACCAACATACTGAAAATAGCGATAGCGAGGCTGAAACTGTTACCAAATCACTAGGGACTCCGTGACTATTTGTAGAATCTAAAAAAAAATATAATTTTCATAAACAACAGTAATTGTTTTATAAAAATTACTATTACCTGCTAATAAACTAAGTTGCAAAAGTAACATGGGTGCCGCCTGTAAAAACCCATGGACCAGCCTTAATATACAAAGATCTCTCACTTCTTGTTTAACACTAGGCAAATGAACAGGTACTAAGAGTCGAGCGTATCGCCACAATACGCCCATTTGGAACAAATGTAACGCAACGACAACTAACCGAATTAAATTGGCGGGCTTTTTGGCTAGGTACCATTTTATGGATAATATCTGTGAGACTAGCATTGTGAGGATTATGGCGCAAAGGCACTGAACTAGTAGAGCGGTGAGGCCTCGTTGGTACAAGGCGTAGACTACCAGCAAATCGAAGACCAGATCGCAGAAGTATGCGGCTAGCGATACTACGTTGAATAGGAGATCGCATAGCGGCAAAAATTCTGCCATGACTCAATGTGCATCATCTCATTCTGAAAAAGAAAAAAAAAAACACTCGTACAACTGTTTGAAAAATTGACACATATCACTAGAAAAGGAATACCTACTTAATAAAATTGAAACTTTTCAGAAAATCATTAAAAAATAGACTCAATTATTTATTTATACAGGGTGATCATGTATATCATGTAGAAACAGAAGGGGGTAATTCTTTGGTTTATTTTATGATTAAAATTCCTAATAAACATAGGTCTGCCAACGCTTCATTACCGATCTACAGGATGTTGAAATTTCAATATTTTTTTAGTTTTTTCTTTATGTGGGGCGTAACCTAAGAATATTCACTGACACCTCAACTGACAGCGCCTGATGACAACCATGTCTTTGGGTTCAGTAAAGTCTGTTTTTTTTTAAAGATAATTCCTCAAGTCAAAAATTTAGTAACTATGTTGGCAGCACAAGCCTTTTCTACATACAAAATTTGAAACCATTGACAATTTTACATTGTATTGCCAACATAATGTCATTTTGACTTTTATCTTTAAAAAAAAACAGATTTTAGCACCGAAAACACCAAGGAAATAATCCAAAAAATTATTAGGAAAAAAATTCTTGAGTTTCACTAATAACCACGCCACTGGTGCTGTCGTTCAGACTCTAACCAATAGAATCATCCCTCTGAATCACGCCTTTCCACATCCTTCATTTCGCAATGCTGCCAAATTTTTTTCTTTTCCAAAGTGCTACACATGCCCATATTGCAAAAAAATATTTCACCAACTTGTTTATTATTGTTTCTGGGAGAGTCATTTAAAAAAACATAACTTTGTGTCACTACTAGTTATTGGGCCACCCTGTATACTGGAAAATAATTTAGGAATGTAGTACTCATGTTTATCTACAAGTTTTGTATTTAGTTTTTTCTTCGATCTCCGTTAGTATAGGAGATATGGACCACCGCGCGCTTAGTAACTCACCCCGACCCTTATCAAAAAAAAAAAAAAAACAAACCTCTGTAATTAATTTCCTGCACATAAATAATTGGGTACATCATGAAATTCCTATCTGCTTTAATATTATTCTCCGCTCTAGTACATAGATATATATATATTATTCTCTACCATGTGCCCTCTTTTTCTTTTTCTTTTCTTTCCTTCTTTTCTCTATTTTTCCACCTCCTTCTTCTCTTTTTTCGTCTTACAGTTTAAGTATCAAGTATGTTACTTGATTTTCATATTCATAGATCTTAGATAAGCCTTTCTTTATATTTTATTTTAAGCAATTTTTTGGGGCCTCAACAGCACTCATGCTTGCGTGGGATGCTGCAAATATGGCCTATTATTTCCCACATTTATCTTAGTTAACTGTTTGGAATGTAATTTTTCTGGAGATAATAAATATTATTATTATTATTATTATTATTATTAATTAGCTAGATGAAACTACAGTGACTCAATAAACCTTTTCTACCTACAGTGGCGACAATAGAGGTCCCGCCGCCGTATTCTTGCTCATTTTCATTAGGAATCTAGAAATGAGCCACTCCCTCGCCGCTATATTCTTGCTCATTTTCGATATGAATACATTAAAATTTCAACACCCTGTAGATCGGTAACAAAAAACAAAACGTTTATTCATAAAATAAACCAAAGAATCATGCCCTTCCGTTTATACATGATATTTAGGAAGACCCTGTATAATTTTTAATAATATATGGGATGTTCTCTTTACAAATGCACATACATTTCATGGTAAAATAACAATTAACAATAATATATATGATATATGATATATGTATTAACGATAATTAATCAACTGAAATAAAACCCAAAAATGTATTCACTGTTACAGTATCTATCAAATGAGCGTCCAAAGGGTTTGACCCAAGGGTGCAAGCACTTAAAAGAGCAAGGGGCCCCAAGTGATCATCTAAAGTCGAAATGTCCACACATAAAAATGAAATTTGACCATTTCGGCGGAATAATCATAACTTTTTTCTATCATAGATAGAAAGCTGAAATTTTCAGCGATTCGTATCTCAGTGAAGGACTACAAATCCTGCAAAATTTCAACTCATTTGGACTTATAGTTCCTGAGAAAAAAACACCACTTCCTCACCAATTCCAAGTCTCCTAAAATGGTAGCTTTAAGAGTATTAAACAAGACCTTTATCAATACACTGACTGGAGAAAGTACAAAAAATGTAGTACTGTGTGTCGTAAAGCCTCCTCAAGTCATACTTTAAAAATAGGGTTCATTTTACGGTTGTTAATAATGGTATAGTACTTTTAATCCGACTTGAAAGACTAAAAAAACATCTAGTCGACATACATCAAACAAATAAAGGAGATGGGCATCACATAGTTTTTATTTTTTCAAATAGTAATAATCAATCTCAAACAACACGACTAAATAATACGTGGAATAAAACAGCAAATAATGAATAGCTTGGGATGACTCTGGTTATAGTCAATGGGTTATAGAAATCGCATAGTCTAGTCAGTAGGTTTATCTAGATAGTTCCCGGGAAGACGTAAGTAGCCCACCCCAGTGATTGAACCTATAGGCCCTGCCGACCTATATTATTATTTTGGGCTACTGTAGCCATATTTCGTCGCTGCTTATATTTTGTACAGGAAAACTCGTATAATGCAGTGTTTCAAGTCAAAATAAAAATACTTTACTAGCACTAGCAGTGACCAAAATTGACAAAATTTGAGTATTTATCTTGGGACCTATTGAATTTTCATTATTTTGTATAATAATAAGCCTTTGGTGCCACTGATTTTAAGTCTGGAAAAACTAGTTCTTCCTCAACTAGGATCATTACCAACCAACCAAGAAACCCAATGGATTTACATCTTCATCAAGTAGGTACAGTACAATAGAACCCGTTTATCTAAGGTAACATAAAAGGCACCCTCTTCGGATAACTGAAAACTTGGATAATCCGGATTTAGGGAAATTTACATGCTAAAAAAGTGGAGAGTCCAAAAACATAAATAGGGAAACCACTCGTACAAGCCAATGAGATTCTTCGTCTGCCCCGAAAATTTTAAATAGAAATATTAGTCTGGGAATTAACGACATATTTCATTGTACCATTTCCGCAAGCTTCATTCTTTTTGTATATGTTATGCGTGTAGTATATGATAGTAATATGAACGTCTGCCGGCGCACCAACACGACAGGGGGTCACAGGAGGGTTACAATTACAGCAAACAATTAACGAAAAAAACTTATAGCCGCATAAACGAAACTTATTGTACGTATGATAAAAACTATACTGGCAAGGCTGAAATTATTTATTTTTACAGTGAGTTTGACAAGTGTCAAAAAGAGAAAATAAATATAATAAGTGAAAATTTTCATTTCAATTTTGACTGTACGCGATGAATCCTTCTATAATATCATTAAGAACTCTAGAACATTAGACTTGACCTTTTCACAATTCATTTTGGTTAGCCTTACAAAAAAAAATTAAATAATTAGGAATAAGAGAAAAATGCAGCTTCCTAGCGGTGGTGCTCGGGCACTGCATGCCGAACCCAACTTCATAGGCTTGGCAGACGATCTTCGTTGTATCTTATTCGTGGCAGACTATTATGTTTGTGTTTGTTTCCATAAAAAGAAGTATTTTAATTAATTTCAGCCTTGCGAGTATATTTTTTTTTTAATTTTATTTTGCGCTTACTTGTCTGGGTGGCAGACGACTTTTGTTGTGGAATTTAGGTAGCAGACCATATTTTCTGAGCTTTCTATGTTTATACCAATATGTACAATAAGTTTCGCTTATGCGGCTTTAAGTTTTTTTCTTTCATTTTTTGCTGTAATTGTAACCCTGCTGTCAGGGCCGGCCCTACCATAAGGCAAACGGAGCGAGCGCTCCAGGCGCCAGACCTCAGGGGGCGCCTCCAAATCGTTGATGATAAAAAAAAAATACATTTCTGCTTTGAATACTATCTTCGCTTTTCGATATCCTGCTATTCTGCTTGCGAGAAAGCGTGTGGTTGGTGTTGGTATGTGAATCCCATAGAACGTTAAGGCCCGGTTTCTTCATTTCCAAATAAATTTTCTGGTGACTGTCTGCAAGATAAATTGACGAATCTATAAACCTATTGGTCGAAAAATAACTGGCCGGGGTTTGCAGATTGCCTTTTTATCCGTCAGATTGCATTATTTGACAGTTTATCAAAAAGTGAATAAGCCGAGGAATAAACCAGCCCTTAAAGAAAAATAATGTGTTTGGAGAAGTTTTTAGATAGTGATAGAGGTCACCCCAAAAGCAGTCCTTCAGATCTTAGCATTGAATAATTGGCAAGATAAGTTCCCTAATATCTGGACAGCTCTCCTTTTTTTGTAACCATTCCTGTAAGGGCGGCGAAAGGTGAACGGAGCTTTAGCAAACTCAGGTTAATTAAAACGTACCTTAGGAGTCAACTCTAGCAGAAGACAATCTTCTGGGGTGCGATTTTCGAAACCATTCAAGTACATTTCGTACACGAAATCTGACTGACAGCAATGTAAATTAAATGGGGAGCAGTCAAATTTCCTGTACGAATTGTACTCGAAAATCGCACTTCTGATCTGGTCCTGCTGTCCATTGGAAATGATATAGCTCAGACATTGTCATATGAGTAGATCATGCAAATTTGCAAATACAAAAGTGCACAAACAACGATTTACTTAAAATTTTGTATTTTGTTTGTTCGATTTTTATATTTATAGATAGATAGATAGATAGATAGATAGATGTTTATTTCCAAGGATCACATACAGGATATAGGAAAATATTTACAGATAAAATTTGCATTACATACTAATCAATAACGTAACATTATAAATAATTAAATACCTATTTATAACAATAAGCATAAGAATAATCAAATAATATACCTATTACAATTTTTATGAAGTATTCTTTCATATCTTCCACTGCGTAAAGTTTAGAAACTCCTCCACTGTATAGAATGCATTTTCCAATAAAATATTTTTAATAAAACATAAGAACTCATTCTGATTTAATTGACGT